TTCTGTGACTTCTCACCACTGTTGAGGCTCACATGCACAGATACCTCTGGCACTGAAGTCTCTTTCTACACCCTGGCATGGGCTGTTGTGCTGGGATGCTGCCTTATATCTACGGTGTCCTATATCTTCATCATTTCCACCATCCTCTGAATCCCCTCAGCCACTGGGAGAAGAAAAAATGTTTTCTACATGTGCTGGGCACTGGACTGTGCTGTTTATCTTCTATGGTATAGTCATATTCACCTATATCCATCCATCTGCCAAGAAATCCTTTGTCCTAGACAAAGCTGTGTCCATCTTCTACACCATTATTACCCCTTTCCTGAACCCTATTATCTACAGCTTGAGGAACAAGGAGATGAAGGCAGCCCTGAAGAAAACACTAAGAGGCTGGGGAAATTATTTCTGCAAAGGCAATGTCAGCCTGATTTCCCTTAATTAGAAATGGGCATAGAGCTGATTCCGGGTAGTTCTAGCTTGGGGTTCAGGATTTTAAGGAAGCCAAAGGGAGTAAGGAATCAAATCCTGTTGGGCATACTAAGAGTACTTGGTTAGGCCTTAATCTCAGGCAAAATGTATTTCAAATAAGAAAGAGGGAGAAAAGAAAGAATTTTCATCATGAATTGCTACTCCTTTGACGATACTATCAGCTCCCGCTAGTAAACTCTTGTACATAAAATAAAATTATTTTTTAAATGCTAGTGAATGAACTAGACACTTATTTTAGTACAGGTCAATGGTTCTCAACTTTCTTGGACTCGAGGCACCCCTGCACAACTTTTGTCAATTGAGTGTCACTCAATTTCAAAAACTGATTTGTATAATACAGTGTTTACTTCCTTGCAAAGCGGATGGACAGTGAGGTTGGAGGGCCAGCCAGGAAGGAACAAACCTGAGTCTGCACTTATCTCCTCAAACCCCGCAGTACGTTTCAAAGGATCCTTTGGCACCCCGAGGTGCCCTGGACCTTGGTTGAGAATCACTAGTATAGGTCGTTAAGCAATTTATTTGCCAAATTTCTCTTCCTTTACTCTTTATTGCTACATGGTGTCCACAAGATATTATAGCTAAGAATTTCTCTCAGAATTTCTACTATAATATATTGTATTGCAAATTGTACTGTATTCTCTCTTTTCCCATTCCTAATCCTTATATTATGCTGCTATTTAGAAGACATTTTCCTTACTTCATGCTAAGAAGCATTATTTCAAAATTCAAATATACTGTTACGGTATGCCCACTTATTAGAGGGGTCCACCTTAAAATACCCAGTGCCTAATTTTCAGAGGTGCTGAGTATTTATAGCTTTCTTTAAGATGCAGTTACAGGTGATAAGTACCTCTGAGACTTAGGTCTTAAGTAGGTCAATATGGACTTTCCAAATCAAACATACCTTTGGTAAATTTTCACATTAGACTGACTTTTTCAAAACTGCCATTGTAATTTAGATATCCTGTTTTCATTAATTTCTAATAGATACCGGGCTCAAAATTCCTTAGCAGCTTTCAAAGGATGAGCCTCTATCTCCCCTTTCTCTCTTAAATATTGAATTGATATTTGTAACCTGATCTTTCTCTTCTTAACGTAGGGAACGAAAGGTTTAAGACACTTAGGCTGATGGTCAGTGTGTATATACCATCATTAATACCTATTGGATGAAGGTACTTAACAATCTCACATGTGTGGCTTGTAGGCCTGGTTTAAACACTCAGAAACAAATCAATTGCTAGAGTTTTCATCAGGGATGGTGTTCCACCTCTAGATCAGATTGTTAAGTATCTTCGCCCCCCTCTTCTTTCGTATCAATGGGAGTGATCCTTTTCCATGGATGAGCAGAGTATAATTTAGCCTGACAAATACAATGTCACACTGCCCAAGGAAAAAAATGGAACCTTTGTCTCTCCTCTTATTAGATTCATAGATGCTAGGGATGGAAGGGACCTCAAAAGATCATCAAGTCCGACACCCTGCCTGGGCAGCAAAGAGTGCTGGGGTCAGAAGACCCCAGCCAGATGCCTATCCAGCCTTCTCTTAAAGACCCACAATGTAGGGGAGAGCACCACCTCCCTTGGAAGCCCATTCCAAATTTTGGCCACCCATACCATGAAGAAGTTTTTCCTGATATCTAGCCTAAATCTGCTCTCTGTCAGTTTGTGACCGTCGTTTCTTGTTACCCCAGGAGGCACTCTGGTGAACAGAGCATCTCTGATCCCTAAGACCTCTGATCTTTACTTTTGTATTTTTTTTCTTTTTTTAATTGGATGATTTGTGTTTATGGAGTGTGAAATGTGCCAGACTCATATTCTTGGGTTACTTTTGATCAAATGATTGTCTGTGAACACAAAGAATTGGATTTGATGGCCTAGGAGTCCCCTTCTTGTCCTATGAACTTATTCAGAATTTGGTGCTCCCTCCTTAAAATAATATAAAATTGAGTAGGTCATTGCAGGGTTTGAAGAGATTTTTGTTTGGGTTCAAGGGACGTTTTTTACTTTGGGTTTGTTTGTTTGTTTCATTTTTGTTTTGTTTTTATTCTATTTTTTTAAATATTGAGACCTGAATCCTATTGTACTTCAAGACATCTAACTGGTATTTAGGCACCTATTCACAATCTATTGTATCCTACTGGAGTCCTTGAAAATGTTTAATACCAATTCTGGAGGGGCCCTTTTCCTCTTCCTATATGTTGCTTTATGTGACTAAGTCTTACAGCTAAGACGAAGGCACATTCTAAAAATTCACCTGTTCACAGTTTTTGACTCAGCTTCCATGCCAAAACTCTGTGCTCTGTCAAAGGCGTACACCTAGCTTGTCAAAATTCTGCAGTCTTGCCATAAGCGGGAGGAAGAGGTCAAAATGCAGATCCTTTCTGACTATAATGGCAAGGTTGGGAGGTATACCTGTAGAAATTGATTACAGTTTGTAATTCATTTGTGGGTACACAAATGTCCATATGCCCCCTGAGCATGTTCAATATGGTGCAACTGCACGGTGTATGAACTTAAAGTACGTGTACAAGGCTGCATACATCCAGAAACTGTATTTAGGCAACAGAAAAAAAAAAGACTAGATGTTAGACACCAAGGGAGCAGGAGAGCCCAATAGATAGAACACTTGCCCATAGAGCAGGAAAGGGGACTAGCTAATACGTGACCTGCGGCATGTTGATTAGTGCTGCTGGGAAGTAAGAGGATCAATCCTCTAGTAGGTGTTGAATGTCTAAAACTCAACTGATCAGCTTTCTAGGCAACTTCCCTAACCCCTCTGCTCTTAGAAATAAAATGTGAGAAGGTCTTCTCTTGTTTCTATCTTGGACTTATGCTCAGGTAGTGGCATATAGGCCCATCCAGTGCATAGTACTGCATATATGCCCAGCCTGCTGCATAGCCTATGCTCACAACGTGTGTGCATGTTTAAGTGTATATACTGCAGGGGTAAAAAAAAAAAAATCACAGCATGTGCATATATGCCAAAGACACCACTTACCCCAGCTGAAAAAACTGCCATTTAGGCACACAAAAAGGATAACAGAATTTCACCCAATCTATGTGAGGAACACTGCAGCCATTCTGCGAATAAAATGGATGATGTCTGTAAACCACATTGTAAAGAACAGAGAAGACACAGACAAGTAGTTTAAGAGTTGCATAAGAAAATAGTTATTCTTGGGTACTACCAAAAAAAATAAAAATCCATTGAAATATTTCTGACTAGGGAAATTAGTTCTTTGATATTTTAATACTTGTTGAAGTCTTTTGTGGAAATAAAATCCCAAACAGAGACAGGGCTTTTTTCTCCACATACCTCTGTTAAGGGTCATAGACTTCTTTTGCCTGAGAGCTGAATTCAGTGTCTCACGGGACACCCTGCAACTCTAGTGCTCCCACAACTTGTGCCAGGTTGGATGCCCCACCTCTTCCCTTCCTCTGTCTTACAGTTCCCCATCCTTCACATGGCAGGTTCTCCATGGGCCCCATATTCTTCTCTTCCCTCACATTCCAAAGACTCAGTATGTATCCAATGCGCCCATTCCCCAAACTATCATTAGGCCTCCCCTATAGTAGAGGTCCTAGGTATTAAAAATTCTACTTTCACCCCCTGTCCCTCATTTTCCCAGTTCTCCCATAATACCACACATGTAAGCCATTCCACCTCTCCCCCATGCCAAGGCTATTTCATGTTACTCCCATACTATAGCATCAGCTATTTTACAATTTCCCCTGCTCCCCATACAATTGTTCCCTCTCCTCCCACACAGGCAACTTTCAGGTTTGGTGTACTCTCTCCTCTGTTCAGTATTTAAAGAAAACCAGCAAACATATTTGTCAAGGTGTATAAAGTTTGGCTCCCCAGAAAAATCAGATTTAGAATCCAAAACTGGCAAATGACTGGAGGAAGAATCCTCTGATGAGACAAACAGTATGAGAAGCTAGATTTTTGATCTCTCTCATTCTCTCTCTTTAAATAAAAGGACAGATTGCTCAATAGTGAAATGGCAAAATAAAATATAGGGGATGCTTCAATAGAAAAACATGACAAATAGTCTTACACTATTAGGGTTTTCATTTCTGTAAATTAAAATGAATACCAAAATAGTTATAAACATTTAATCAAACAAAATTGATATGTAAAAGGTATTACACAGCATATGAATGGCACTTGCTAATATATGTCTGGAAATTGCATACATATGATAATGAATAAATAAAAAGGTAATTCAAAACAAAATGACAAGTGTAGACACATGGCCAATTATTGTCATATTAACTATCAGATCTGCCCTCTGTTCTCACTGATCTGTTATAACTGTTTGATCTGTTTGTTCCTATCCCTGCACATCTGGAGCTAAACCATTGTTACCTGAAACCCAAATGAAACAAGCGGTTTCCCTCCACTTACACAATATAGGAGCACACCTTTGAAACAAAAGCATTGGATCAGGTAATCCTCACTCTCGATTTATAAACCATCGTTTAATATTGGTGTAAATAAACTTTGGTCTATACTCTGTGGTTTTGTATCCTCCTTGAGGACAGCATTCTAATGATCTGTCTCCTGATGACCTTTTTCATTTCAGCGTTTCTCAGTGCATAGATCACTGGGTTTAGCATGGGTGTGATCACTGTGTAAACAACTGCAGCCAACTGGTCTAGGGGGAATTTTGTGAAGGGCCGTGCATATATGAATATGCTAGGTATGAAAATTAAGTTTACAACTGTAATCTGAGCTCCACAGGTAGACAGGGCTTTGTGTTTCCCCTGTGTCACATGTCTTCTTATCTTGAATAAGAGGGCAGTGTATGAAATGAGAAGAATAATGAAAGTTATTATGAGAAGCAATCCACTGTTGGAAACCATCAGCAGCTCCATAATGTAGGTGTTAGCACAAGCTAGCTTGATGACCTGTGGGATATCACAGTAGAAATTTTCCAAGACATTGGGACCACAGAATGGTAGCTGGAGGAGTAATGCAATCTGAACAAGAGAGTGCGCCATTCCACCCAACCATGCCCCTGCCACTAGCCCTGTGCATATATCCCAGTTCATGATAGTCAAGTATTGCAAGGGTTTATAGATTGCTACATACCGATCTATTGCCATTATCATGAGCACAAGACCCATGGCACCTCCGATGAAGTGAAAGAAGAAAATTTGGAGGATACACTCATTGAAAGAGATAATTTTATGCTGGGAGAGGAGACTTGATAACAATGTAGGTGTGTTGATTGAAGAGTCAGTGACATCTAGAAAAGCCAGGTTGGCAAGCAAGAAGTACATGGGCGTGTGAAGCTGGTGGTTCAAAATCACCATAATGATTATGGTAAAATTTCCCAAGCACGTTGCCATATAGATGATGAAAAAGACCCCAAAGAGAAAATATTGTAGTTCATAATTCTGTGTAAGTCCCAAAAGAACAATTTCTGTCACTGTACGGGTAAAGTTCTGCTGTTCCATTTATTAACTTCTTTTCCATTTATTAAATTCCATCTGTACCTGAAGAAGGAACAGATGGAATAATGGATATGGCATAAATACAGAGAAATACTAATATTAATTCAATATTGACACCAAATAAAGAAAGTCATATGGTTTGGGAATTGTACTTTTTTCACAAATTAAGTCATATACCTTCAGCTCCAGTGCTAAGAAACCCTGCTAGAGCAAAACCAGAAGCATTACCAGGCAGTCTCTTTTAGTTCTGGATCCTAGGAAGTGAAGAGGAATAATTGGCATATAAAAATAACCCTACTTCACTCTTCTACTTATTCTTTTTTTGCAGTCCTGAAGCTATCTGTCTCTGAGGTTCATATATAATTCTTGAAGCCCCGTGGTTCAAAGCTGTAAAGTCTGTGGGGCTACAGCAAGTAAACCTTCATGGAGAACTCCTCCCAGTATCCAGGGGTTTTCCACACAAGGATCATGAGCAAGCATCAGGAGATCATAATGATCAAATTCTTTCCCCTTATTGCTAAATATGAGAGAGGTCCTGGCTGCATCCTTGCTAGATGGGAGGGAAGTTGGGATGGAAACCTGGAGAATACCTTATTTAAAGAACTAAAATTTTCTGTGTATTTCTTTGCTATCAGAAGATTCGATCATCTATAACACCATTTAATGCAAGAATGGTCTTGAACGGATTATGTTTCTGTGTCTTTAGTGGGACTAGCAGGTGTTCAGTGTCACTGGAAAATGTTGTCATTTTTACAAGCAAACCATTTCTTAGATATAACTTTAAGATGACAGGTTTAAAAACAGGGATTAAATAAAACTCTTTGTGTGTGTCAAGGCTGAAAGTTTCAAACTTCCTTCAAGATAGGCAAATTTATATTGCATTTTAAAAAAATGAAAAAGTTACAGAGTGGGTAGAAACTTATTTTTCTACAGAAAAAAATTATTTTGATATACTTTTAAAACATTTACATTGGAGAAGTTTGAAATTAAGCCATAGAAAAATGTTCATTTTGCTGCACTTCAAAATCCAAAATATCTATTAATATTTTACAACCAACAACAACAATGTTTAACTCAAGGAAAATATAAATTTTGATTCTCCCTACTTTCATCATTTTTTCACCAGAAAAAAAAGAGAATAAGTTAAGAATCACCCCCAGTTTTATTTGCACATACTGGTGTTCCTCTTCACTCTTTCTTGTTTTTATTTCCCAGCTGTAGTCTACCCAGGGATAATGCCTTAGGGCCAGAGCAGTACTAAGAACCAGTAATGGAAAAACAGACTCAGAATTGCTGTAGGAAAGCTTTGGATACTCATGTCAGCCAATGGTTTGTGAGTCAGTTTGATCCTAGCTCCTCTAGATTACTTTGGAAATCCCAGTCAAGACCTGTAAAGCTTTTTAGGCCAGAGAACCCCACTCATAAGTGCTAACAGTTATCTCCCAAATCAAATCTCTTTTCCCTTACAATGTAATTTCTAAGCAGATTTATGCATTAACAATGGCTAGTCATAATACTATACTGCATATTTTAGGAATGAAATACCTCATGCAAACTTGTGTGCCCATAATCTCAGAGCAACTGCCTATGAATGTCCCGGAAAAGTAGAACCTTGGAGTTGTTTTTATCTTTCCTGATAGCCAAGGGAAGTGTACTTGGATCCAAAGAGCAGATATCTCTAGAAATTCTCCCCTTATAAGTTTTCTGATCCCTGAATTACAGCAGCTGATAAAACCAAAGTCTCCTGGAAAGAACCTGAAAAAGAGATGTACATTTAATTTTTAAATGACTACAGGGCTAATAAAATAACATATTTTGGGTTTTTTTGTTTGCCTAGTCTTTTATATTTTTTATACATGATATATAATATAGCAAATTAATGCTCATTCCAATAAAGTATACTTGTTTTTGCTTCAATCTTAAACTGAATAATATATATCTAGGCCCCTTGCACAGTAGTAAAGCTTCCAGGTTCTTTTTAACTAGATGCAACTATATGTGGTGTTATACATGATAATGAACCACACCATCCATACTTCTCTTTTAAAAATCCTAGATGCACCCAAGAACATGCAGACCCCAGTATTGTACATGGGGTCACTGCAAATTTTGCAGCTTGTCTGGTTTCTACTAGATATTTATTCAATTATTTCTTTTTCAAGGAGGCTCTTAGGGACTTTGGGACTGAGAATGTCAATCTGTTTTATCTAAGCAGCCCTGAAATGCCTGTACCCTGCCCATGCATTGCTCCTCACACCCAAGCCACAGCCCCTCAGCCCTGTTGGTGCCCCTCACTCCCCACCCACAGCCTGTTGCCCCACCCCCAGCCCTGCTGGAGGGGCCTCCAGCTGCTAGGACTATGGGGCCAGGGACCTGGGTCCACAGCTTCCTGACCCTACAGCAACACTCAAACCCTGGCTGCTGCCCATGGAAAGCAGCAGCTGTTGCAGTGGAGTGGAGCACAGAACCCAGTTTTCCCTTCCTCATGGGTGGCATGGCTGAGGCAAGTGGATGAGGGCTGAAGGCTCTGGGATCAGACTCCCCGCCCTGCTGTCCTGCCCCCGGGGCCTCCACAGCCCAGTGGGCAGGACATAGTGTGGCAGGGCAGAACAGGGTGGGGAGGCTCACTGCCACCGCGAGAAGCCTCACACTACTATTGCAAGGTTCCCCCTACCCACCAGACAGCAGCAGCGGGCAGCAGCAGGGGGCACTGTTCCTGGGTGGGCAGGGGATGCCTCACCATGGTGGCACAGGGCACCCTCATCCCCATCCCTGCCCAACTTCCTCTCTCACTATGGGGGCCTTAATACCACCCCCACCCCCCCACTCCAGATTTACCTGTAGGGAGCTGTGGGAACTGCTGTCCAGGCTGCCTGGCTGCCATGTGCATGTGTGAGTGTGTACATGCACATGCCAACCCCTGCCTTACTGCCTTCCTTCAGCTTCCCCCAGCCCCTTGCAGGCTGAACCTCTGCCAGCCTGCAAGGGGAAACCTGCCTTTTCCTGTGTGTGTGTGGGTGTGTGTGTTTTTTTTTTCCTTTAAAGGAGAACATCTGGGTTTTTCTCCTTAAAATGAGAAAATCCAAGTTTTACCATATTTTTCTGTGGTGAATGGAAAACCCAGATCCCCAGTAATGAATAAGAGAGCTTGTGTCCACATGAGAGCCAGTGCATGCAACGGCATTTTTTTGCCCTTTGGCCACAGGTAACAGCTTTAGTTTGTCCTTCTGCCATTCCAACAGCGTCAGCTGGTTCATCTGTGAAGTCGCACATCTCTTCCATCTCTCCTGCTCAGATGTATTCCTTAGTGAAATTCAGATCCTAATCTTTGGTGCAGATTTAGATTTTGGTTGCATTTATATCATATGTTGAGATCTTTGCCACTGTACCAAGAATCCCCTATGAGCGTGGCCTGCATAAAGCAGTTTCCACCAGCCTTCCCAAATTCATAGTGGTCTCCTTACCTGGTAGCTCTGGTATTATTGCCCATGTGAAGCCCATCACTGGGTCCCCATCACCTCTCAAACATTTTGCATCTGCTGTTTATTCTGATGATTCTGATGATGAATCAAGTCATCTACAGCATGACTATTTATCTGACCTCTTCTTAGGTTTTGATGCTACCATTTATCACTACGCTATGTCAGCACCTTTCATAAACATTCAATAGCTGTGTTAAATCCACTAATGGTTCTTCGACTGTTCTAGGGGAGGGGAGCTTTCTTGAGGTTTGTGGATTTTATGTTTGCTTTGTTCTGCTATAGAGGTTGATTCTGTTTCATCTAACAGTGTGGGAGTGGAGAGGGGAAGAGGGTGAAAGGAGAGGTTTCCTAGGAATGGTGCATAATTCTTAGATAGATGTCAGTGATTTCACAACTACTGAGACTTTCAGTCATTCTTTTCCTGGAAAGGTTTGCCAACAGAGCTTAGGGTTTCCTCCACACAATGAAGAAGCAATGGGAATTTTTCTGTAAAGCCAGGTACAGACATTATACTTTTATTGATATAAATGATTGGCAACTGGTCTATACCCATAACAGAACAGAACTTTGGTGCACACAGACAGGTTTAAAAATGGCAGCACCCAGTGTAAGATCCACCCCCCATCCCCTCCCACTCCACCACCACCAAAGGGTGAATGTGTTTTCTATTTGCTACTGACCTAAACTATGTCACTTACAAAAAACACATAACTTAGACTGATTGTGCCTTGGGATTTTTTAATGTCTTTACCTAGCCTAAGTGTTGACATCCCTAAGCTTCCCTGCAAGTCATTATGGTAGTTCTTCTGGATTTTCGTAATCTCTGTGTTTCCACTATAGGGAAGTAGTAGGTAGCTAAACCTACAAATTTTAGAAAATAATTTAATCATGTCTAGCTCTAATACCTTTCAAGCTGTCAGTCTGTATACCCCAAAACAACCACCTTCTTGCTTCCCTGAATTAGCCTATTGCAAGGCCCTATTGCAAGACCCTGCTTAAGGAGACAGGCAGAGTGCAAGGAAATCAGGATTTCTGTTTCATGGGAAATATTGCTAAGTTTCAGATTGTGTTTTCTCTCAAACAGGGAGATTCATCTCCCTGAGACATTCTCCTGGAAACAAATTTTTCAAAACATTATACTGTTGCAACTCAGGTAAAATACTTCTGGCAGCTTGGAAAACTGTTGTTTGTTTTTTACTTTTGAATTATGTTAAAAACTAGACTGAATATTAAGCTTGTGTGAAGCTCCATTAGTCGATTTGATTCGGAGGAGATTTGGCCTGATTTAGGGATCAAATCTGCAAATCCAAATTGAATCGGGAGACCAATTAAAAGCTCTGAATCATTCAAAGCATCCAAATTGATTTGAAAAAGGTCTGGAAAAGATTTGGCTGCTTTGGAGATTCACCCATAGACTAAACAGGCAGCTGACACAGCTGCTTCCAGCTGGTAAGTCTGTTGTCATGGGTGGAGTGGGGAGGGATGGCGCATGGGGGAGGGAGGGACTGGAGATGGGGCTGGGACAAGCTGGCCAGCTGGGGTCGGAGGGTTCTGGATGTGGGCACGGCAGCGCAGGGAGTGGGGGCTCTGCCCTGCTGCTGCTTACCCAGCCAGGCCAGGGATGGCAGTGGGATGTGGGCATGGCTCACTCTGGGCTGAAGGGGGCAGGCGGTAGCAGGTCATAGCCCCCACTCTCAGCGTGACCATGCCTGCATCCCACACCCTCTGCACCAGCTGGCAAGTGGCAGCAGGGCAGAGCCCCCACTCTCAATCCTGATGTGGGCATGGCACCCCTGGGAGCAGGTGCTATGCCCTTCTGCCACCCGGAGCAAGCCGCGCCTGCATCACGCCCTCCCCCCTGTGCTGGGTGGGCAAGTGGCAGCAGGGTATAGCTCCCGTGGCTCCCCCTGCCAGAGCAGAGGCAGGCACAGCCAGAAGAGCTATGGGAGAAGCTTCCATGGCTTTCCTGCCCGTCTCCATCCCCTGCCTGGTCCAGTCTCCCGGCACTTTAAAAAAAAAGCAAAAAAAAAAAGCCCTACACTCACCAGATCCAGTAGTGGAGATCAGGGTCTCTGAGAGCTTATGGCAAAGCATAGGGCAGTGGGGGATCACTCCCCTGCCTGGCACTTGCATGGCAGCTGCCCCATGGTGCTCAGCAGAGCACCACGCACTGCCTGGGAGTTGGGGCAGCTCCACCTGTCAGCCAGAGCCCAGCACCACTCAGCTCCAGTGGCCCCAGCTCCCAGACAGTGAGCAGCGCCCTGCCAATCCATGCTGCACCTGCGCCATGGGGCAGCTGCCGCACAGGTGCCAGGTGCGAGGGGCGATCCCCACTGCCCTGTGCTGCACAGCGGGGCTCTGCCACGAGTGTCCCAGTCGCTGCTTCTGCATCCAGTGAATGCAGGGCTTTTTTTTTTATTTATGGTGCTGGGACAAGGTGGGGGCTGGCCAGGTGTGGGATGGGGCCGGGCCATGGGGGCTTCTACCACAGCTCCCCCTGCCTGGGGAGAGGCAGGCACAGCCGGAGGAGATACAGGAGAACGTGCAAGCCACCCAGCTGTGCTTGCCTCTCCCCAGCCAATCCGAATCAGTGAATCTTTCCGAATCAGCACCGAATCTTCCAAAGCAGATTCAGCTGAATTGGTTAGGGACAGTGATCCAAATCTCCGAATCAAATCACTGTCCTCTGAATCTACTGAATCCTAACTGAGTGCTTCCCTATTAACACAGGGCTACTGGATATGCTCATATTTAAACTAGAAATGTTGTCTTGACATAAAGTTGTTTGGGTTTTTTTGTTTTTGTTTTTTGTTTATTTTTTCCAGAGCTGACACTCTCCTAAGGAACACTTTGAAAGCATTAACTTAGATTTTTCTGATGGAAACACATTGTGATGCCAAATTTCCAGCCAGTTCTCAGGAGATGTTTTACATACTAGAACAGTGATTATCAAACCTTTTTGGACTTGAGGCACCCCTCACTGGACTCGAGGCACCCATCAAAAACTTCTGTAAATTGAGTGGTACCCAATTTTAAAAACTAATTTATTTCTTACAATGGTTGCCTCCCTGCAGCTAGGCTGGGCTATAGGGTGAGGGGGGACTTGAGACTGTATTTATCTGCCCAGCTTATCTGCTTATTTCTTCACACCTCACTTATCTCTTCACACATCACAGTACCCTTGAAAGGATCTGACAGCACCCCAGAATGCCCCCTGGTGGAGACCCCTGGTGGAGAGTTATAGTACTGGTAGCAGAGGCAGAGAGAGC